ATAGACTGGTGTCTGCTTTTGATGCTTATGAGCTTGTTGGATTCTTGGTCAGGGCAAGTGAGCATAAGCAGTCCCCTGACTTATGCCTGGCACTCGGTTTGGAAGACAAGATTCCTAGTGAGTCCCTCCTTTTCTCTTCATGTTCCCCTGCAAAATACATAATTGGCTTAATTTTCTGGATTGTACATATCTTGTACCCTATTAAGGTCATTGATCTTCTATATATTGGTTTATTTTTTCTGAGCATTTTCCAGGCAACCTGTATTCGTTTTCCGAATGCACTCACCTTAATTTGATGTCTAAGAACTTTTGTAGTTAGATAGTTTTATGACATTGTTGGTTCTTAGATATTTCATGATCGTTTTGTGTTTCTAATATGGTGATTTGATACTTGGGGTTGTCATGAATTAATAGGTTAAAATTGTATTTGACTAAATCTTTTCTTTGTATTTGTATGTTCGTTTTTAAGACACAACTTCCTTTTCCCCAATTATTTTCCTCCTTTAAGGCTCTAATTCTTGTTATGATTCTTCTTTCAATGCAATTAGTTTTTAAGAATTCACCCTGTTCTTGATGATACAATTTGTTTTCTTCCTTTTTGTTCTTTCAAACCTTGACAATGTACCTCTTCATTGCATTTGGTCAATCATTGGGTATATATATATGTATATATTTCCTTCACATATTTTATTCCTGACTAAGACATATATAGTTCCCATGATGCCTCTCCTTGATTGAGAGATTCTCAACTTTGGTGTTCAGATTTTATGGCTTGGGGAGAAAGATGAATACCGACTCTCTTCAAACATAATTGGTGTTTTAGTATTTAATGATACATTTGAAAAGTTACCCAGGAAGAAGAAGGAATATTTGCCCATAATTCTTTATCAGTTTGAAAATTAGACTCTTCTTTAAGCCATTTTTCCCTGCTCATAATTGAGTTTATGAGAATTATTTTCTTACCACCGGGCATTATTCCGCCCATCTGGTTATCTTAGGTGTTTCAGCCAATGAAGCCTGATTATGTTCCCGATTTTCTTTTCTCCTTTAAGATGTGTAATTAAACCTGCATTGTCTTTTGCTTTTGGGGTTTATGGCTTTATTCTTTTTCTGTATAATCCTGCAATGTTTGTTTATGTCACGCAGTTCTCATTGAGAATCTTCTTAAAAAGCCTCTGATGCTGGAGGCCATGGAATATATTTGTGCATTTGAGCTATTCTCCGAGTTCCCACCAGCTCGTATCCTAAAAGCTTACTGGAGGTACAACAAGAAGAGAATATACAAGGGGAAAAAATCTCGTCTCACGATGGTAATTTCTTACTTCTACTTATAATTTTTACATGCTCTATACACACAAATGGGTTTTGATATTTCATAAAGATGATCAGTTGTCATGATTTTGTCTGAGAATTATGGAACGAAAATTTAAAGCATGCATATATTCCTTGAACACTTGGATTTTTTTATATATGAATATAGAGAACCGGGATAAACAATTTAAATATTGAGTTTTGAACCTGCTCACAGAAGCAGGCAATCGAAAGAGAAATAGAGACTGTGAGAGCCATCATCAAATGCATCATAGATCACAGGCTCGAATCACACTGTTCGCCAGAGGAGCTCGAAAATTACATTTTGGAGCTAGAAAAGCAGAAGACTATCGGGAATGATTCTGTAGACCAGAAACATAATATCCCAGCTCCTTTCCTCAAGGCTCAAGCCCGGAAGGTTGCTCCAACGTCAGAGACTGCCTTGAATTTGCAACCATCTCTTCAGCATTTGGAAGGCTTGTATGCACATCAAACTCCAACGTACCTAAGCTCATTCGCCAGAAATTATGGCTCCGGAACCTCTGGTTACGTTGCTCAAGAGATGGGCTCGTTTGGCGGAGCCTATAGAGTGGATCCTTCCACCACTCTCTTCAACACCTACACAATGTCACCAGATAAGCAGCATGGTTCTGGTACTGCTGGTGATTGGAACATGCAGCAGTTTGGTTTTCCAGGAACCGAGTATGGAACTTTTACCGGTTTCTGCTAACTTAGAACTGGTTGATGATAGTTTTAACGCGTACAGCTGCAGCAACCGAACAGTTTTTTCTCGTTCACGGATCATTTCTACTGGTCATCAAGTAATAGAATGTAAATGGGTAATCTGATTGTGGAAAGCTACATAGAATGTAAAATTATTAAGTATATTGGGATATATATATATACATACATGTCTATCTGTTTGTATGTATGGGTATAGACGTTTGGATGTTTGCTAAGTTTTTGGATATTGGCATCAATGTGGAAATTGGAGGAAAAAAATTATATGTATGGATTTTTCTTGTAGTTGTATTCTTCTTCTTTTATGGGTCAGCTAATTTGTAGAGAATACTTGTGTTTCAGCTATGACTTTCTTGACTTTATTGTACAGTAAATCAAAATTTATTAAGAAAAAAGTCTGATATAAGTATGTTATTATCTTTGAATATATATATATATATATATATTCTTTGAAGAATCCAACCAGAGGTAATATGGTATGCATATTTGGGAAAAATAACTTGTAATACTTTATAAATATTTCAATTATTGTTCTGGTAAAAATTTGTTTACATCTCGTTGATATAATATTATAATAGTTAACATCATTGCATTTTATTTGAAAATATTAAACATTTTTTCCAAAAAATATATATGTACATATGTATATATATACATATATACATATAGGTCACATAAGATGGATGGCAAATAAGTAAAATGAAGAGTAAATGACACCTACCAAAACTTAGGTGGCGATCATTCTTGACCCACCACCGAGGATGATGAGGAATCTTTGATTCCTTACCCAATTTAGATGTTAGTTTGTATAATAGGGATTCCTATCGAGTTTGAGTTTACGTGAGCGGGAGTTCACGAGTTTATAATGTTAGGGATATAAGTGTTATGCCTATGATCTAATTATTCGTATAACATATTGAATATATTATTATTTGATAATTTATTTTAATATATGACAATAATATTTTATTATCATATCGTTTAATTTATGTGATAAAATTTTTAATTGAATTTGTAGGTTTTACATCAAGATGGGGATCAAGATAATGAGAGTAAAATCTTTTTATAATTTAATTTAAAATGTTTTTAGTAGTTGGATCATCAAAATGGAACATTAATGATCCGATAAGACTAATATATATGTGATAGTCTTTATAAGATAAAGATTAGTTGATCTCATTAATTAAATCATATATATATGATGCATATGGAGATATGATCATTGAACCGACCCAATTGAGAATTTCTAATGGTTAATATTACCTTAAACTGTCAATAGAGTATTCTCTTATTTTGATAAGATGTAAGAATTTTCTTAGACCTGAGATCATCATAGTAATTGATAAATCATTTATTATACTTTGATTCTGAACACCTATGGTCATAGAACTGTAGTTGAAAAAATATTGAGTGTGATTAAATTCTTGTAGAATTAATGATTGGTAAAGACAGAATCTGTCACTTGGGTAATAAAGTTTAAACTCTATGTTGTCATATATTGTAATGATTAAATTAAGAGTTTGGTC